GAGTTTAGTTTCCTTTTTTAGAGTTTAGCTCCCAGAGTGATTACACGCATCTGATTAAAATTTTATATTCACGCTTTGTAGGTTGGATGACCCAATTACCAGCCTTTTAGTGCTAATTTCCACTTTAAACATTCCTACTACTTTAATTCGCGCGATTTAATTATTTTTAAACATTTGTTTTAATCGATAAGCCATTTATAAAAAAAAAATAATGAACATTTATTTGCAATCAGATTATTACGAGAACAATTTTAAAATCAAAAAAAAAAATGAAGCACGTCGTTTATACGTGGTAAAACCATGCAGTTATATTAGAAGTATAGTTGTAGCACGAATGGGTCGGTTCGACCGGGGAAGGACCACGCTCTCACAGAATATCAACGTAAAATAGTAGCATGATGCTGTGTTTCGTATAGTGAGTGTAGAGAAACAGAGACACTTTTTAAAGGAAAAGAGGCATTTCATCTTAGTCCTCACGGGTGACAACGCATCTGCATTTTGATTCGTAATCGAAGATAGTTGTAGATGTCTATGGGCCACAGCAACCACTTACCATCAGGTGAACTGTGTCGAGCACACAGTTTGTCACCCTATCCTATATAAAAAAGCGTCGATTTCTTATAATTTTATCGTGCAAGTTTTCGAATCATCATCATCATTACAGCACTTCACAAGTCCACTACTGAACATCTTCCTCCACAGACTGCCGCAAAGCATGGTCCTGAGCCACTTTGCTCGTCATGAGTTTTTCATTTATGTTCTAAGTTATAATTAGTACCTATTATTAAGTCAGTGTTAATTATATTTATTGCTATTGTTTTTGTCTTTCTCAAAAAATAATTAAATTACCAAATAAATATAAGGTGTTTTAATACATCAAATGTCTTATAAAAATGCAAGTACATATTTTCCTAAACTTTAAAATCAAAACCCAATTTTAAAACATAGACTAATCGATTATAACTCCTTTAACTTTAAAATAAGTTAAGTTCTTAATAATGGTATTTATTCCAGTTTATGATGCCTGTAAATAATAAATAAAGCTAATCGTATATCGTATATCTATTTACAGCCCCATTAATATTCACTACAATTCTTTTATAAAAACGTTAACCCCACACTAGGATTTTCTCCCGTATCGCGCAGGCAGTTTACAAACATAAATTGCACAAGGACACACATCCAGACCCGAAACAATTATTTTTAGGACATACAAATACTTGTTCCGTGCGGGATTTAACCCGCGGCGCCCGGTGCAGCCACTCATTGCTGAGCCACGGTGATTATAAATTCGTCCGCACATTGGCCCGAACCGAAGTACGAACGACAACTGAACGACCTTCCAACGTGTGGACGCCGTCACCAACTCTCGGCCAATATATTCGCCACTCCATTCGCCACTGTGTTGGCCAACATGTAGAGGCGACATTAGGCAACTAGCTCTGAGATATAATATGTGTTATCGATCGCTCGTTCCCCGCTCGCGCTTCGTTTCGCGAGACGTCGTTTTAAGTACTTACTAGCTTTCTACATATTTATTTATCTATGGTACTTACTTATTAAAGGACCTATATTGTTACTATTTATGTGAATATTTGTGACGTTTAATTATCAACCGTGACTAGTGAACGTTATAAATTTAAATTAAACAAATAATACATTAAAAAATTAATGATTCGATTAATTGATTTTTTAGCGATAATATTAATATTTTGCCGATTATTCGCATAAAAATAATTTTAGTCATCCAAACACCACGGTAATGCACATAGCAACATATCATTGAACCGACATAAATTAAAAAAAGTTGATACTGATTTTTTTTAAATATATTGCTTTGTTTGAAAGATTCAAATTTAAATTGGTGATAAACGTAAAAATACACGTTGTAATGAAATATAGATAACTTTATAATTCTTCGTATTTACGTAAAAGGTGACCTACGGAACCGAGACGTGGTCCTTCACTGCTGGCCGTATGAGGACGCTCAAAGTCGCTCAGCGAGCTGTGGAGAGGGCTATGCTTGGATTTTTTTTAGTTTTAATTTATTAATTTATCATATCAATTTATTAATTCAGATAACATAAGATCCATATCATTAAAATTGATTGATTTAAAAACATTAATTAATGGATAATAAATAATAATAATATGTCATTAAAATACAATAACTAACATATAAACACAATAATAACTAACACATAATTATTATTTAGTATCTTCTCACTCCCATAATTGCTGGGACATGTTTGTTGCAGCAATGCCGGAGGATAGGACAGTCCAGTCTGTCTTCTATCATTTTCAGAATAATATTGGAGCTGACCTGCACTCTGCGCACCAGTGACGGGCACCGCTTACGCATGTTCGCGTGAAAACAGGCAGTGCATGCCTCTGCAAACATGCCTGAGGCACTGCAGAAGCGGGGCAGTCCCAAAACCATCCTGAAAGCGTTATTGTGCAGGACGCGGAGATCGTTGTAAGTTCTTATTATTCTATCTATTATAGTCTGCCCACAGGCTTGATGAATAGAGTGACGTACAATAAGTTCTAAATAGTGTAATTTTTACCTCCTGTGAGCAACGCGCAAATCTGCGGGCTTTCATGTTAGCTCTAATGGAGAACGCTCTCCGCTCCCACTCAATGTCCGCATTATCCTTGAGGTCATTAGTTATCATTAGTTATTATGTGTCCCAGGTACTTAAATTGTTTGACAACTTCCAGGGGCACCCTATTTAGTAACACTGGAGGTAAATAAAAGGGACACTTGGTACCTGCCTTGAAGACCATGCATTGACTTTCTTCACATTGTACTTTAGATCGTGTCCACTCGCATACTCCTCACAAATGCGTATCAGTTTTCTTAGGCCACAGATCGACGCACTCAGCAAAACCATGTCGTCAGCGTAACTCAGATTGTTAACACATACGCCGTCGATATGGCAGCCGACGCGCTGGCTGCTGAGAGCGACGATCAAATCATTCATATACAAATTAAAAAGTGTCGGAGATGTTAATCCGCCTTGCCTGACTCCACATTCAAGCCAATACGGATCCGACACTGCTCCCGCCCAACGTACGCTGTTAGATTGGTGTGAATGTACTGGAACACGCTAATGAGTTCCTCAGATAAGTTTATGCTTCTCAGCTTATTCCATAAACGGTCGTGTCGGACTAAATCAAAAGCCCTTGATAAGTCGAGGAAGCAGGCATATACAGGCGTCTTGCGGTTTGTATAGTATTTAACGGTATGCTTAAAACACAATATTGCGTTTTCAGTCGACAGCTGCGGTCGAAACCCGAACTGGTTATCATTCAGCTTTACGTTTTTATAATTTAACTGTGCATTAAGCAACCCGTCAAACACCTTTGCTATAACAGTGACAAGGGAGATAGGCCTGTAGTTACTTTTGTCGGTAAGATCACCAATTTTATTTTTCACTACAGGCATCACAACTGTCCTCATAAAATCGGCTGGTAGGTAACGCACAGCGAATAAAACATAGCCAATACCCTAGCGACAGGTGCTCAATACTAAGACCGTCATGTCCCGGTGACTTACATCTTGATATACTTTTTATGGCTTTTGAAACATCTTTTGCCAAAAACGCGGTCGTTAACACGTGACTACTCATGTTACTATTGATTACACCCCCAGCCGGGCCCAGTGGCGATTTCACAGAAAAGTGGTCCCTAAAGATATTTGCAATGTCCTTGGGGTCGTTTACACCATCGGCATTCACAGGAAAGCCAGGCCGTACATTAATTTTACTACTGTTTTTCCAGAAGCCCTTAAAGTTACCCTTCGAATGCTTTCCCGCAAGAGAGTCCATTTTTATTTGTTCTTGGTGGTCTTGGCCACTTTAATCTGGACTTGAAAACTCGTCTGCTTTCACACATTTCTCGGTAAACAGGACCCGACTTTGGCTTTCCGCACATCACCCATTCAAATAACTTGGACCTAGCCTCCCTATGAGCAGCACTGACGTGCTTGTTCCAACCCACTATGCACGAGCCACTCCCCCCCACTTTCATGCTTCCCCGACTTACCACCGCTGCGTCACGAAAGGCGGTCACAATGTCGGCGTAAAGTTTATTTAGAGTATGCCAGCGGCCACGGTCATTACAAGCATAATCAGCACAATTCACACAATCCGAAGGAAAGTCAATCAATCTTAGCCTCTTATGACACTCACTGGTATACATAGAGATTTGTTCAACACTTCTTTCACCCCATAATATATCTTTATTTGGATTCATATGTAATTTTAGGTAATATTTTAGAGATAAGTAATTTTAAGTCGCAACTTATAATAAGTGGAAAGTAGTCCGACCATTGAGTGTCATATATTACATCAACATTAATCACAGACTGCTTTGCCGACTGAGTAGTAATGCAGTGATCCAGCCAGCTGCATGTTCAGAACACATCACTAATGAAAGTAAAAGTGCCCGTGTTTAACCCTAATATCTCTGTGTCTATACACGACCATAGTTGGCCATTACAAAAATTAATAAGTTCACTGTAAAACAACTCACCCGGGTCCGCATTAAAGTCTCCCAAAATAAATACGGCGTCAATTCCGTATTCGTCAACAATCGCACTCACCGTACTCAAACAGTATAAATTCTGGTAAATTTTCTACCGAATGTGTTGGCATATAAACACTCTTTATGATCACAGGTCTATCACACGTTATAATTTTTATACCACAAATAAGGCTATTATCGCACTGTAATATTGACACCTGTTGAAACGCACTATATCGCCATAACACTGCAGTTCCCCCAAACGGACGTCCTCTAAGGATGCCCGCAGACATATCCATCGCCGATGTTGCCGTGTATCTGAAACCGCTGTCAATGGTACCGATGTAGGGTATGTCGCACCAAGTTTCCTGAAGACACACCATACCACATGATCGGCAGAGTTCTCGGACATCGTCTATTGATCGCTTTATATTTTTGCAATTAAATGTGGCAAGTCTAAATGGCGAACTAACCATTATTGGGTTGTTTTGACCGTTTACGCTGGTAGAACCTGCAACGTTCGTTTTCCTGTACTTAAAGTTTACAAAACGTCGGAATATGACACCTTCGGGCCATAGCGTTTCGTCCTTGTTTCTCGATAAATTAGCCTCAGATATTAAAAATTTATATGTTTTATGTCCTCTTTCCACTTTCATATTTATTTTCTCTAGATTCACTATTTCCTTTGTCTTATTATAAATATGGTTAGTTATGTCTTCTTCTGTTGCAGAGACATGCACATTCGTAATGAACATACGAATTTTCCTATCGGCAGCTCTGAAGGTGCATTCTAGGTCTCTTGCTATGCCCGGCTTTCCTATGTAACGATATTTGTTTTGTTTTTTACGGTATACCACTTTTTGCCAGTCTTCGCTGTTAATATTTTGCGAGCGCTCCGGTTCACACGTTTCTAACGCGCAACTATCGCCTGCCTTATCAGTAGTGGTCAGCTGCTCCGCTAGCTGTAGATTCGTGCTCGATGAGTGTAACGTCACCGCCGGACCGGTTCGAGTGTTCGCCTCATGATTCACTTTTGGCCTTACTCCTCCCTCACCGCAGCCTGCACGTGCGCTTGCCTGAGCCCGTTCCACCGACAGACGTTGCCGGTCGTTTAGTTTATTTTCTATTTGCTTATGTAGTTCTACCCTCAATTTTTCAGATTGCGTCGAAGGCGATTTTATGATCAATGATTCGTTTATGTTTCTTGTACTTATCTCATTAGGCAACATATCATAATCATGTGAGAGTCCCATCGGTCACTGTCTAACTTCCTCATTTCATGTTCATTTTGAAGCTGACCCGGCGGTGGGGAATCGGTTTTTAGCTGATAGACTTCCGTTCTTAGTTCATTTACACACTCTAGCGTAGCATAAGTCAACTTTATGCCTTCGATTTCAGTCTTCATCGTTATCATGTCCTTCAACAGTTTAGAACAGTCCAAATGATCCCATAAGATTGGTGGCAGTTTATCTAACTATCTTGCCACAAAAACTGGAATAAGTTCGGGCTCCGTAGTTTTAAATAAGTTTATAATATCTGCTACGTAACGCTCTTCTTTCCCTTTATTCTTGCGTAATATTTTTCTTTTGTCCGTTGGGACAGACTCAAACAAAAGTGTCTTGGAGTTCTTGATATCCTCACTTGTAAATGCCGACTTACAAATACGCACTAGAGTTTCCTCGTCTGCGATCGATATTTTATTTTGTATATATGACAACATCTCGTCAATGACGATGTTACATTTATTGCACTTCACTACGTTCATCATATTTATTGAAATGCGCTCGTTAACGCTCATTAAAAGTTGACACGCCCAACTCGTAAGGGTGCGCGCACGCGACTGGAGATATCCGCAGTAGAACCAGAGTGACCGACATAGCCTAACTCTCCCAAGTAATGCCAAAAAGCGCGGTTCTAAGCCACCTGCATCCATCGACTTCCTGTATGTCTTACCAGTCCTAAGCCTTAAGAAAGTATGAGGGCAAGTTCATTTCAATTATGTCAACAGATGTCGTGTAATGGCGGTTGTGAATATCCACTACCCCCTATCTTCCCGTGGCTGTCGTAAGAGGCGACAGAGGGAGACAGGGAGGATATGGGCCGATGGATTCCTGATAACAGCAATTATACAATAAAAAACTGCGGTTGCCAACCCGCCCGCCAAGCGTAGCAACTATGGCAAGCATCCCCTGAGTAACGATACAAACAAACGGCCCTCAGTCCCTGACAGCCCCGCTATTCCTGGCTTCGGTGTGACCATAGTAACGGCGGGGCAGTGGGTGCTAAGAATCTCCGGTGGAGGTTCGGTTGCCACCTAAGACGATTCGACCTGGCAACATATAACGCACGCAATCTGAGGACTTACGAGAAGATTCTGGAGCTGGAAGAAGAGGTAGACAAGTTGCGTTGGCATATCATAGCATTATCCGAGGTCCGAAGAGGGGGAGGACACGGTAATCCTCGAATCCAACAACTTGTTCTATCACCGGGAGGGCAACCATCTGTCCCAAGGAGGTGTCAGATTTATCGTACACAAGTCTCTCGTCAACAACGTTGTAAAGATTGCGATGTTTCGACGAGAGTTGCGTACCTGATACTCAGAATCACCAAACGATATCCGCTGAAGGTCATACAGATTTACACACCACTCTCGTCACATCCCGATGAGGAGGTGGAGGAAATGTATGAGGATACCTCTAAAGCTATGCATTCCTCCAAAACCCACTATACAGTGTTGACTTCAACGCAAAACTAGGTACAAGAGAGAGAGAGAGAGAGAGAGCGGTGAGCTAAAGTTAGGGAAAATTGGAATAAGGCAATGGAACCCAAGGAGCCAGCAACTAGCTGACTTCATGGAGAAAGGGGGACTCTTTATGATGAACTCTTTTATTTAGAAGCGTCCCCACAGGAATTGGACCTGGTCGAGCCTCGACGGTGTGACGAAAAATGAGATTGATTTCATTATGTTGACTAGACGCCAACTGTTCAGTGTTGTATCAGTAATCGCGATGGTGAAAACTGGCAGCGATCACTGAATGCTTAGCGGCACACTGACCATAAACATTAATTTGGAAAGGTATCGTCTAATGAAATCAACGCTCCGTCCCCCTCGTACGCTAATCAAGGATCTCGACAAATTTCAGCTCGAATTACAAAACCGTTTTCAGTGCCTATAAGACTGATAGGAAATGAAGCTGCAGTCTCAGCAGATTTGACAGCATACAGGCTACTGAATAGTAAGATCACCAAATTCATGCGGCGGGACTTATGTAACTTCAATACAGCTCGTAGTGAAGAAGCAATTTAGCGGAACCAGGGCTCCAAAGTCCTTGCTAGAGATCTGTGTGCCAGAAAAAGCCAACTGTCGAAGCTGAAGACTGAGTGTGGCAGCATCACTTCCGGGACACCTGAGATTTTGAGTGAGATTGAGGGGTTCTATTGGCAGCTTTATGCCATTGTTGGAGCCACACGCAAGTGTGAGTAACGATCCAAGAGCAAGTCATATCCGATACTATTCCGATGATATCCCGGACGTCAGTCTGAGCGAGATTGGAATGGCTCTCCAGCAACTTAAAAACGGAAGAGCCCCCGGGCGAGGATGAAATTACAGGGGAGCTTCTAAAATCGGGTGGAAAACCGGTACTTCAAGTCCTTCGGAAGCTCTTTAATCCTGTCCGCCATGGTGGCACTACTCCAGAGGCGTGAAGCAGAAGTGTGGTGGTCTAGTTCTTTAAGAAAGGTGACAACGCTTTCTTGAAGAACTACAGAGCGATTTCCCTTTTGAGCCGCGTCTCCGTCCTGATTTCGAGATTCGTTACGAATCGTCTCGCATGCAGACCCGACGATTTCCGGCCTCCCGAACAACCCTTTTCTGAAAAGGCTTCAGTACCATAGACCACATACGTACCCTTCGGCAAATTGTACAGAAGACCGAAAAATACAACCACCTGGCCTATGTGGACTATGCGTAAGCCGCATTTGATTCCGTTGAAATTCGGGCGGTGCTACAGTCCATTCAGCGGTGCCAAGTTGAATGTCGGTATATCGAAATATTAAAGCGTTTGTACAGTAGGTCTACGATGGCTATACGAGTATAGAACCAGAGTACGAAACCTATCTAACTGCAGAGAGGTGTAAGACAGGGTAACATTATATTCCCGAAATTCTTCACCGCTGCATTGGAAGATGTTTTCAAGCTACTGAACTGGAAAGGATACGGTATTAACATCAATGGCGAGTACATCGCTCACCTTCGATTTGCAGACGATTTAGTTGTTATGGCAGAATCGCTGGAGGACCTAAGAACTATGCTCAATAACCTCAATAGTGTCTCCGAACGGATAGGTCTTAAGATGAACATGGACAAAACAAAGATCATGTGTAACGTCAATATCAAAAATATCATAATGCTTAATTTGAAAAATAAATAGTTATTAATTAATAATATATGGTTGCCCGATGGGCGTCGATTATGTGCAAGCCTAGGGCGCCATCGACATTTGATCCGCCTCTAAATGGCCTTATAGAAATACTCTCATTCTACAAAAATATGGGCACGCCTTAACATAGGATGCAACTTATATTGAGATATTAGCGCCACCACATCTTGCGGCGACTAAACAAATTTATTTATTTATTTATTTATTTAAAACTTCATATACACAAGTGGTATATAGGCGGACTTAATGCCTAAGGCATTCTCTCCCAGTCTACCTTGGGATGATGCAGAGATAGAATGAAGTAGGTGTAATAAAAAGTTAATATGCGAATACTAAAATAAAATAACAAAAAAAAAATTGTAATACATGGAAATAAAATATATAAGATATAAACGGTACATCGCAAAAAATAGATAAAATTATATTAATATTCATACACATATATGTATATAAAATATATAATATACATAATTACAATAAGAACAATAAGAATATATATATATATATATATATATATATATATATATATATATATATACACATATAAACATACATATGTACAAATATATATATACATATATATATATACATATACATACATACACACACATACATACATATATACACATATACATACACATACACATGTACAACCAGTGCGTGTTGCCAGTGATGACTTACGGATCAGAGACGTGGTCCTTCACTGCTGGCCGTATGAGGACGCTGGTTGGAACAAATATCAGGCAAGGCTCCTGCTGTTGCCGAGTCTAATTAAAACTGTCTAAGTAAAGGGATATCCCGTATTTCTACCGAGAGGGAAATAATGTTAGAGACACATTAGAGACACATCCGATAAACTACGAAAAAGAAAATGAGATATTTAATACTATTTACTATTTGCATTTTATTCTTAAAGTGTTATGTAATTTTTAAAGTAAAACTTCTATAAGCACGCTTGACTTAGTGAGTAAGCTGGCGATGGCGTGACGAAAGCGTTACGAAAAGTGTGATCGGGCGAGACGAACGGGAGTTCAGTGGGGATAAGCAAGAACAAACAAGTCCTCGTGCACATTTTCTTTATCTCTTTCTCTTATAGCCAGTTCGTTCAGTATTTTATGAATTAATATTTCGTTTAATACATTAAATATTCTACGTTAAAAGTGGAAAAGATTTAAAAATTAAAATAAATTTAAAGTTCCTGTTTTGTAAATTTTCGGGTGAATAATAACAAATTATAGAAGGAAGCCGATAATAAATTCAAATACTTATAGACAATTTATATATTTATATGTATATACATGTATATATTACACATATATACATATACAATATGTAACGTAATTAACGCACACCCTAAGACACCCCAATTAGTATATTATGTTATAATCATAATACATACACTGAATTTTTAGTTAAACATTTTTATGCACTGATTATTTATCAAATTAGTTATACTAATTCCGGAAGAATGTTGTGGTCACAGTACAAATCCACGAACTCCAAAGACTTTAACTTTCTTGAAATAAAGTCCATAATTCTTTATTTTTATTGAATGACAGAATTAGTAATAAGTAATAAAAGTAAAACTGCGCTCTTAAAAGTCTTATTGCCTTAAGTTACGGTCCATTTCAGTTTGTTTTGACTGTACAGATTTAGTGTGACTGTAATTTACGTAGTTTTAATTATTTTTGGGATAAAAAATTACCTATATTAAAAATGATAGGAATCGATTCAGTAAATGATTCTGAACAAACTACTTTCTCAAAGTACGTTAATTATGTTACATGTTGTATATATATATATATATATATATATATATATATATATATATATATATATATATATATATAGATGTAGCTAAAGAAGTTTTGCTTCAGTCGTGTGGTAATAGGCACACTCGTTTTTTTTATAGCATATGGGTGACAAAGGAGCACACACTCCACCTGATGATAAGTGAAAATAGATCTATTTTCAATTAAAAATAAAAATTTATTGTCGCCCTTGAGGACTAAGATGGAATGCCTTATCTCCAGTAGTTAGGGTATCCTACGAGTATATGTTATTTTTTGAAATCTATCATATTTAATAATGTCATGAATATAATGATAATACAAAGTGTGATCATTGAGAGCGTGTCTTGGCTAAAATAATGTTTTTTTTTCATTATACTATATCAATTTAATAATAATCGTCATGAAATGAAGTGTACAATCACAATTAATAAAATAATGACTTCAAATGCTGTATAATATATTGTATTTTAAAATTCTTCCGTACAATAAATCATGTATAGAAAAAAGCCAAGGAACGAATAAACTCCTGTCTGGCGATATGTTCGCCGTACAAAGCCAGAGCATCTCCTTCGCCGGAATCTTCGGGCTTTGAACGTTTTGGTTGCTTTGCTTTCCATGCTTTGCTGGCAGCTATTGCTTCCTGTAATTAATTTTATTGATCACTTCTCAACGAAATATTTGTTTTGTTTGTCTTATTCTCTAAATGTTAACCCAAATCATAATAATTGACGATCATGACTCGAGCAATCATAACACATAACTCTTGCCAAATTTCAATGTCTAGTGATGGTGCAACATTACCAGTACGATGGTATCAACTATCAACACTGCCCTCACCATCCGCCTACCTATTCATTAATCTGAGCTGTTATACTTCCAAGTCACCTTTTGCGTGGTCAAATATAGGTGGTTTTAAAGTATAACTGCTCAGATTAATGAATAAGTGCTCTTAATTTCTCAGCAACTGTGAGCAATTACGAGTACTTATTCATTAATCTGTACGGTTTAGGCCTTAGGCAAAAACAATTTTGTACGTTTAATTATTAATTACTAATTAAATAATTAATTAATAATGTGAGCAATTCAGATTTAAATTCAGCATTTTTGAGAAATTAAAAACACTTATTCATTTTTAGAAAAGTTCATTGATTTTAAGTATAATAGGCAAAAAGAATTTTGTATTTTTAATTATTAATAACATATTAAATATTCAATTAATAGTGTGATCATCATCACCATCATCATTACAGTCCTTCACAAGTCCACTGCTGAACATAGGCCTCCCCCAAGTAATGCCACAAAGCACGGTCCTGAGCCACCCGCATCCATCGACTTCCTGCATGTCTTACCAGGTCGTCACTCCATCTAATGGGGGGTCGCCCTACACTACGCCTACTGGTGCGAGGCTCCACTCTAGAACCTTTCTTCCCCATCGGTTATCGGTTCTTCGAGCTATATGGCCGGCCCATTGCCACTTCAGCTTACTAATCCGTTGGGCTATGTCGGTCACTCTGGTTTTACAGCGGATATCCTCATTTCTGAGTCTATCTCGCAGAGAAACTCCGAGCATAGCCCTCTCCATAGCTCGCTGAGCGACCTTGAGCGTCCTCATACGGCCAGCAATGTAGGACCACGTCTCAGATCCGTAAGTCATCACTGGCAACACGCACTGGTTATACACTTTAGTTTTCAGAGATTGAGGTATACCTGTCGAGAAGATGTGTCGTAATTTCCCCAACGCTGCCCAGCCGAGTTGTATCCGTCGATTGACCTCTCGGTCGAAGTTGGACTTACCTAGTCGGGCTATTTGTCCCAGGTAAACGTACTCGTCAACAACTTCGTGCATAGTGCTCCCAACAACTACCGGCATAGGTGTGACATGGACATTAAACATGATCTTTGTTTTGTCCGTGTTCATCTTAAGACCTATCCGTTGGGAGACACCATTGAGGTCATTGAGCATAGTGCTAAGGTCCTCCAGCGATTCTGCCATAAGGACTATATCGTCGGCAAATCGAAGGTGAGTGATGTACTCGCCATTGATGTTAATACCGTATCCTTTCCAGTCCAGTAGCTTGAAAACGTCTTCCAAAGCAGCGGTGAAGAGTTTCGGGGATATAACGTCACCCTGTCTTACACCTCTCTGCAGTTGGATAGGTTTCGAACTCCGGTTCTGTACTCGGATAGCTATCGTAGCCCTACTGTATAAACACTTCAGCACTTCGATATACCGACAGTCAACTTGGCACCGCTGAAGGGACTGTAGCACCGCCCAAATTTCGACGGAATCAAAGGCTTTCTCATAGTCCAAATATTCCCGTGGGTGTCGTAAGAGGCGACAGAGGGAGACAGGCAGGAGATGGGCAGCAGCATCTTCCTGATAACAACTGTGATATAATAAAAAACTGCGGTTGCCAACCCGCTCGCCAAGCGTGGCAACTATGGCAAATATCCCCCCATGAATAACGACGCAAAAAGGCCCCCAGTTCCCGGCGGCCCCGCTATTCCTGGCTACGGTGGCGACTATGGTAACGGCGGGGCAGGGGGTGCTAAGAATCTCTGGTGGAGGTTCGGTTGCCACCTACGACGCCTCGACCTGGCAACGTATAACGCACGCACCCTGAGGACTGACAAGAAGATACTGGAGCTGGAAGAAGAGGTAGACAAGTTGCGCTGGCATATTATTGGATTATCCGAGGTCCGAAGAGAGGATACGGCAATCCTCGAGTCCGGCAACTTGTTTTACCACCGGGAGGGCGACCATCTGTCCCAAGGAGGCGTCGGATTTATCGTCCACAAGTCTCTCGTCAACAACATTGTAAAGATTGGGAGTGTGTCGAGGAGGGTCGCGTACCTGTTACTCAGAATCACCAAACGGTATTCCCTGAAGATCATACAGGTTTACGCACCAACCTCGGCACATCCCGATGAGGAGGTGGAGGAAATGTATGAGGATATTTCCAGAGCCATGCATTCCTCCAAAACCCACTACACGGTGTTGATGGGAGACTTCAACGCAAAACTAGGCACAAGAGAAAGCGGTGAGCTGAAGGTGGGGAAATTTGGAGTAGGGCAACGGAACCGAAGAGGCCAGCAGCTGGCCGACTTTCTGGAGAAAGAGGGACTCTTTATGATGAACTCTTTCTTCCAGAAGCGGCCCCACAGGAAGTGGACCTGGTCGAGCCCCGACGGTTCGACAAAAAATGAGATTGACTTCATTATGACGACCAGACGCCAACCGTTCAGTGATGTCTCAGTGATCACAAGGGTGAAAACTGGCAGCGATCACCGAATGGTTAGAGGCACACTGATTACGTGGTAGAGCCATGCTGCAGTTATATTAGTAGTATAGTTGTAGCTAGCGCATGCAAACCGATAATCAATAACTGATAATTTATCGGTAATCAGTTCATTTTTTTCACCGATAATTATCGAAAAATTTCTTAAAAATACCGATAAACGATAATTTCATAAAGGTTTTATGCAATCATTTCCATCACTACCGCGAGTTATTTTTTGGAATTCGCGCTGCGCGCAGTGGCATTCCACTAGCCCGTGTCTATAGCTCTCTTGCTCACTCATTTCATGACCAACACAAGTGCGCAGTCGCGTGCAGGACAGAACGCGCCATTAAGCGCGGCGTGGGAAGTTTGTTCAGTGTGATCCAGTGTGGTGTGATGTTTGGTTGGTTGCGTTGTGTTCTGTTGAGCGTGCTTCGCTTTTTTGTCGACACGACGCTAAAGGATTTACAGTAGGTAAGTAAAATAATCTAGATAGATAGATTTTAAGTAGATTTTTTATATTATGTACTTGTTTGACGTTCGCTTTATAAGCCCACTTCATATTCATACATCTTCTTTACTTCATAGCCCACAGTGGTCAGTCATATAAGTAGGTAATTTTATATAATATTTTAACTTTAGGTAGGCACACGTTATTTAAATGTTACGTAGTGTATTTAAAAGTTTATTTACTTACACAATACTTAAATATCATTCGCAGTATTACCAAATTACCGTATTTTTATCGAGATCACGTCTCAGTGTGTCTCAGTCTACCAGTGTTGCCCGTAGCTTCGAATTTCGAATCATAATATTATTAGTAGTGTGAATATTAAAAATATCTTTTGTTTTAGGTACTTACTGCAACGAGTGAATTAATCAATAATGTCAAATAAAATAAACTACATTCCTGTATACAAAAAAAGTTCCGATCCAACGTCGGTTTGGTATCATTTCCTAAAGGCCGATACGGGTGATTCTGCAAAATGTAAAACATGTGAAAAAGTTATTAAGTGTGCGGGTGGTACTACAACAGGACTACGCAGCCATTTAAGATTACATAATATTTCACTTGACAGCGAAAGGCTTGCTTCAGAAGTAGCTAGGGAAACTGCTGGGACTTCCAAAAGAAAAAATGATTTCACCCTTGCGATCACTGAGACATCACTGAACGGTTGGCGTCTGGTCGTCATAATGAAGTCAATCTCATTTTTTGTCGAACCGTCGGGGCTCGACCAGGTCCACTTCCTGTGGGGCCGCTTCTGGAAGAAAGAGTTCATGATAAAGAGTCCCTCTTTCTCCACAAAGTCGGCCAGCTGCTGGCCTCTTCGGTTCCGTTGCCCTACTCCAAATTTCCCCACCTTCAGCTCACCGCTTTCTCTTGTGCCTAGTTTTGCGTTGAAGTCTCCCATCAACACCGTGTAGTGGGTTTTGGAGGAATGCATGGCTCTGGAAATATCCTCATACATTTCCTCCACCTCCTCATCGGGATGTGCCGAGGTTGGTGCGTAAACCTGTATGACCTTCAGCGAATACCGTTTGGTGATTCTGAGTAACAGGTACGCGACCCTCCTCGACACACTCCCAATCTTTACAATGTTGTTGACGAGAGACTTGTGTACGATAAATCCGACACCTCCTTGGGACAGATGGTCGCCCTTCCGGTGGTAGAACAAGTTGCCGGATTCGAGGATTGCCGTATCCTCTCTTCGGACCACGGATAATCCAATAATATGCCAGCGCAACTTGTCTACCTCTTCTTCCAGCTCCAGTATCTTCTTGTCAGTCCTCAGGGTGCGTGCGTTATACGTTGCCAGGTCGAGTCGTCGTAGGTGGCAACCGAACCTCCACCAGAGATTCTTAGCACCCCCTGCCCCGCCGTTACCATAGTCGCCACCGTAGCCAGGAATAGCGGGGCCGCCGGGAACTGGGGGCCTTTTTTTGCGTCGTTATTCATGGGGGGATATTTGCCATAGTTGCCACGCTTGGCGAGCAGGTTGGCAACCGCAGTTTTTTATTATATCACAGTTGTTATCAGGAAGATGCTGCTGCCCATCTCCTGCCTGTCTCCCTCTGTCGCCTCTTACGACACCCACGGGAATATGTGGACTATGAGAAAGCCTTTGATTCCGTCGAAATTTGGGCGGTGCTACAGTCCCTTCAGCGGTGCCTAGTTGACTGTCGGTATATCGAAGTGCTGAAGTGTTTGTACAGTAGGGCTACGATGGCTATCCGAGTACAGAACCAGAGTTCGAAACCTATCCAACTGCAGAGAGGTGTAAGACAGGGTGATGTTATATCCCCGAAACTCTTCACCGCTGCGTTGGAAGACGTTTTCAAGCTACTGGACTGGAAAGGATACGGTATTAACATCAATGGCGAGTACATCACTCACCTTCGATTTGCCGACGATATAGTCCTTATGGCAGAATCGCTGGAGGACCTTAGCACTATGCTCAATGACCTCAATGGTGTCTCCCAACGGATAGGTCTTAAGATGAACATGGACAAAACAAAGATCATGTTTAAATGTCCATGTCACACCTATGCCGGTAGTTGTTGGGAGCACTATGCTCGAAGTTGTTGACGAGTACGTTTACCTGGGACAAATAGTCCGACTAGGTAAGTCCAACTTCGACCGAGAGGTCAATCGACGGATACAACTCGGCTGGGCAGCGTTCGGGAAATTACGACACATCTTCTCGACAGGTATACCTCAATCTCTGAAAACTAAAGTGTATAACCAGTGCGTGTTGCCAGTGATGACTTACGGATCTGAGACGTGGTCCTTCACCGCTGGCCATATGAGGACGCTCAAGGTCGCTCAGCGAGCTATGGAGAGGGCTATGCTCGGAGTTTCACTGCGTGATAGACTCATAAATGAGGATATCCGCAGTAAAACCAGAGTGACCGACATAGCCCAACGGATTAGTAAGCTGATGTGGCAATGGGCCGGCCATATAGCTCGAAGAACCGATAACCGATGGGGAAGAAAGGTTCTCGAGTGGCAGCCTCGTACCGGTAGGCGTAGTGTAGGGCGACCCCCCACTAGATGGAGTGACGACCTGGTAAGACATGCAGGAAGTCGATGGATGCAGGTGGCTCAGGACCGTGCTTTGTGGCATTACTTGGGGGAGGCCTATGTTCAGCAGTGGACTTGTGAAGGGCTGTAATGATGATGATGATGATGAACTATATAATTAATTGTGTGAGCAATTGCGAATTTGAATTGAGCAATTATTGAGCAACTAAGAGCACTTATTCATTAATCCGAGCGGTTAGCCAAAGCCAACCAACCCCAAGCCAATCCAAGCCAACTTTTTTGTGGTCTTTATTTTTGTGCTAAAATTATTTACGTCAATTATAAGTTATCTGATGACTGATAAGTTTAATATAATATGAAATTAAATTAAATAAATAACAATAGCGTTAAAAATCGACGGGTTTTGGGTCTATTTTTTTTTATAATTGGCCGCGTGTCTCCGACGTACATACTCAACCGTACGATCTTTTCTTCCTATATAGGACAGCTTATATATACAACATGTAACATAATTAACGCACTTTGAGAAAGTAGTTTGTTCAGAATCGTTTATTGAATCGATTCCTATCATTTTTAATATAGGTAATTTTTTATCCCAAAAATAATTGACAAATTACAGTCACACTAAATCTGTACATCAAAACAAACTGAAATGGACCCTAACTTAAGGCAATAAGACTTTTAAGAGCGCAGTTTTATTTTTATTATTATTAATTATGACATTCAATAAAAATAAAGAAAAATGAACTGTATTTCAAGCACGTTAAAGTCTTTGCGTTCGTGGATTTGTACTAAGACCACAACTTTCTTCCGGAATTAGTATAACTAATTTGATAAATAATGAGAGCATAAAAATGCTTAATAAAAATTCAGTGTATGTATTATGATTATAACATAATATACAATGGGGTGTCTGAGGGTGTGCGTTAATTACGTTACATATGTATAATATGTAACCGGAAGAAAGTTGTGTAAAATCCACGAAAGTACTTAACATGCTTGAATTATTTTTCTTATTTACATATATACAATATGTATATATATAATACTATGGAGTGCAGAGGTAAGGAGTACATACTCTGTATAAAAAGTGTCTGTAGGAAAGCGCTAAATAGGTGGCGTCACTGTAGCTACAGTCTAAATTTTAAAGTACTTTTTATAATTTTTTTATTGCACAGACTTTCACCATAATTCTTTTTACAATAATTATTTTATTGCTTCCAAATTTTTTATTTTCAAAATCACTTTCAACGTATTTTAAGGCGATTTATCATACCCTGTAGCTACTCGAGCGCTGTTGTGGAGAGTTTTTGAACTGTTATTTACTGCTTACAGAAGGACACATTTTCAACTATTCTCCTATGGGAGATTGTCCTCCTTACCTCTATACTCCATGTATTATACTCTTTATACAATCTTGTCGCATTTGGCACGAATGGACTATGGATACCAGTCATAGAGTCTTTGTATAGCAAAGATACAAATATTATTTGGTTTGGTATATATTTGGTAGTTAGGTACGAGTCTATAGTATCTCTTTATTGCTGTGGTCAAAAACATTTTAGAAATACTGAAGTTACTGACATTTTCGCGTTCGCGATATACATCTGCGCGATACTTTTCCGCATCTTCTCTTCTCTGCTGCATTTCTTTTAAAGTTTTATTGCATCTGCGGATATAAATTAATGCAATTTGAAAAATCTTTTTTTTAATTCTCAACGACATCTTTTTCTAATTCAAATTTAAATTCATTTATTCATTTGTGAATATATGGGTTGCAAAAGCTCTTAAAAATTCAACAAATATGAAGTCAGATTCTATCTTTCGGAGTGTAAACTAATTACTTAAATAAAAGACATTTTAATAATGATATTGGAAATTATTGATAATTCGTTTACATAAACTGCTATTTACATATATTAAATATTAATATATGTAAATATATATTTTATATATTTAATATTATATATATTATTATTAACTTAACGCCAAATGTAACACTTAACTTAAAATAAATATTTTAAATTTGAATTAAGTGTTATTTTTACTACCAACATCATTACAATTTAAAATTTAATATAATAAATGTTATATTATGTGATATAAATTTTATTTATTCTCTATAATATTATGTAAATATAAAAAGCTGCTCTACGTAACATCCCGGCGCGGCAATAAATTATGGCCGTTACTGATTAAGTGTTAGCATAAATCGTGACGAATATATTACTTAATAGATTAACATCTGATTACATTTTTTTGTTATATCCCGAAACAGTTTAACAGAAAAAGAGCCAAAATACATTGAGCATTGTCAAAAAATTACTTGTAACGGGCCAATTTATGAGCGAGAAAGTGTATGGGATTCTTGGGTTGCTCGCTCGCCACTTGATACAATACTTCGGGCAGAACATGGCCAAAACTATCCCATAAATACAGCGCCGTGTTTTCGTCAAGTGCACCTGAAGTAAACGTCACAAAATAAAAATTACTTAATTACTATATAATTACTTTTTCTTAGATGTTACAGTTAGATTTTTTATTTTGAAAATGTGGCGGCGCTGACGTTCGCGTTCTGCGGCGGGACTGAACCGAAGCCTAAATCACGCTATCAAAGTTTCCGAAGTACTCTCTTCCCCGGTAAGAGATCTCCACTTTTATTTCCATGGACAAAAGTATTTTAATAATCTTGATAACTACAAGAGGTACCGAAACCTTAAGAAACTTAAGTTTTTAATTTAAGGAAACCAAGATAAAACCGGTATTGATATTGATTGTAATTGAAACTTTCAAACTGTTTATCAAGGAGGCTTATTGTACGTAGCATTAAAGCATTAATAACAGCTTTTAATTTTAAGTCTACTTTTATACCTAATTCAAATAAAATAGCAAATCACAAAAGTCTATGAATGTAAATAAAGTTAAATGTATAAAATCTGGATTAAAGTAACAAGGGAATTTTGACAAAAATCTAGGAAGTTAAATACTAGGTGAAAGTGGCAAGTAGTATCAATAATCCAATGAAGTTTTTCGATTTACCTACGAAAACAAGACAGTTTTCTAAAACATTTCTTTTGTGGCTAATTATTATAAGCATAGTAAAAGTAGCCGCTTAGGTAATGTATAGTCATTCCCCATTTTCTGCTCAAGTAGGGAAGGGCGACACACGTACATAATAATAGCAAATAATCTAGGAGTAAGAGTACTTTTGTGCGTAAGACTGAACTGAAAAACCTTTTTATTTAAATCATTGCATCTGTAATTGTCATTTGCATTTTGATTCTTAATCGAGGACTCCCCTTCTATTCTTATTTCATATATCGTTTTACTTTCTTCTCTTTCAAAAAACATAACTTTAGTTTTACTTGCGTTCACTTTCATAGCCCTTTTTTTTAATGATCTGTTCATTAATGTAACCATCATTTGCCACTCGGCCGCCGACGACGCAAAAATAACTTGATCATCGGCGTACAAGTGACATTTGACGGTTAATTCACCCATTCTTAATCCGCATTCTTCAACTTTCGAATTTTTCAAGCAACTGTTTATATATAGGTTCAACAGCCACAGGTAAGCCACACAGCCCTGTCTAACGCCTTTATGGAAGCCAAACCAGTCCGAGTAGACCTCGTTGATCCTAAAGCAAGCACTAGAGTCCCATAAAGAGACTTTAATACCTGTATCAACCCAGCGCTCAACCCAAATGAGTTCAGTGTTTGTCATAACACATTCCTGTCACGCATAAGCCTTTTCCAGGTACAACGCACAAAAAGCTTTTTGGTTTATGGCCAAAAACTACTCCGCGATCATGCGCATGTAAAAGATCCTCCGTACAAGAACAAACAAGAAAGGCCGTACACCCCTTTCCCTTTTTAAATTCCGCTTGCACATACCAGATTTTTCCATCAGTTTCTTTCATGACCCTTTCAAGCATACAGTTTTCACACAATGCTAAGAAGGCGATACCACGGTAGTTCTTACAGTCCTGTTGCGACCCTTTTCCTTTATATATTGAGACTATCACGTCTTTGTACCAGTCCACTGGTACCCGCTTCAGTTCCCAGCATAAGTTAAACAAGCTGTACAGTAGGCCTGCCACCACTTTCTCTCCAGCCCTTAGCATTTATAGTGAAACTCTATCATATCCAGCTGCCTTACCTGCTTTCTTACTTTTCATTGCTTTCATTATTTAATCTAAACTTATCTCCATATCTCTTTCCTCTTCTTTCGGAATTTCTATTTCATTTATTTTACACGTCCTCTCCTCACTCATAAACACTCTTTCAAAATATTCGTTCCATCTCTTTAAGCTCTAAACTTCATAATTCAGAATATAGCCATATAGTCTCTTAGAGCATTCATTATAGGCAGTTTTGAATGTCCCCTGGCAGTTTTTACGAGTTTCCAGAACAATTTAATATTTTCCTGAAAGTTATCCGATATTTTCTATCATTCTTATCCGTTCTTTTTTTCTTTTTCCTTTCAACTACTTCTTTTTCTCTCTTATTTAGATGTCTAAAGACTGCCTTTTTTACCAGCTGACCAGCTTTTGCCTCTAGTAAATCTAGCCATGCTCTTTACTTTGCTTCAACTTCCATACGTACCTCATCATCCCATCATAAAGTATGAATGACATATTCATACAACCAGTGGGTGTTGCCAGTGCTGACATATGGAACTGAGACGTTGTCCTTCACTGCTGGCCTTATGAGGGCGCTCAAAGTCGCTCAGCGAACTATACAATACAATAAATACAATACTTTATTGTACACCAAAAAAATAAATAAAAAAAAAAAAATAAATAAAACTAGCTACAAGTTTCCAGACAACCCAGAAGAGGAAATTAATAAAAATAAAATAAGATTAATGGGTAGGGTGCAAAATAAACTTATATACATCAACTACTTTACAAATATACCTAAGGTATATTAGTGACCATAACTAAGAGGAGGAAGAGAGAAGAGTTAAAGAGACAAATATTGTTCCTTAATTTGTTTGTTGAACACATTTAAAGATTGAGCACTTTTAATGGACTGGGGTAAGGAGTTCCAGAGTTATACTCCAAGAACATCAAAAGATTTATCATAAAATGTCGAGGAGTGTACAGGACATTGGAGCGAAAGATTTTCTTTGGACCGTAAGGAAAAATCGTGACAAGAGCTAAGAAATTTAAAACGTTCTTTTAGATAGGGAGGACTTGATACATTAAATAAGACGCAGTAGAGCTCAGAAATTATATGAGTATTCCGACGAAGACGGATTAGGGAGCCATTTGAGTTTAGTGTGGTATTCCGAGACATGGTCATATTTACGAAGCCCAAATATGAACCGTATACAGAGATTTTGGAGTCGCTCAAGTTTATTAAGTTGCTCCTCGGTGATATCCGTCTGGAGTAGCAAAGATTGTGCAAGCGTAATTTTAGTGGAAATGGGTAAAAATTAGTTAAGCCTTCGGAGTGAAGCATAAGCCGCAACCAAACATTTTTCGGCTCACTGCGTTAATTTGGGGTGTCCAAGAAAGACTGGAATCCAAAAGCATACCTAAATTTTTCACTACTTCTTTATATGGAATAAGAATACCATTATATACAACGGGTTGAAGTTGACATTTTTTAATTTTGGAAATAGTTCTTGAACTCCCAATAATGATAGCTTGCGATTTTGAAGGGTTAACCGTCAACCCATAAGATCGTGTCCAGTCGAAAATAAAAGCCAGATCCTTATTGATATTGTTACGCGCTCAACGTCGTACACTAGCGCCATCTAGTGTCAGGAACGAGAGCGAGGGGAGCTTTGCAGAAAATGACATCACAAATCTTTCAATCGACAGCGCCATCCGAAGAACTAAGTTTCTAGAAAATCTACGCTCGAATACTCGTCGCTTTGCACGCATTTACTTGAATATTCCGGATGCTTCATTGCTAATTTATATATATAGGCGCTGCAAGATGCGATCGGGGCAGTATTGAATTTGGCGAGACAAGCGAAGCTTCGGAGCGGAATAAAGTGAACTAGTGTGTTTAATTATTAGTGTTTTAAGTTTTAATTTGTGTAAAGTAAATTAAAGTGTTAATTTAGGTAATTTTATCGGCAATTTTTATTGTCACGAACCTCAAGCTCGTAACAATTGGTGTCAGATGTGGGATAAAATAATGCCGATTTTACCTAAGGAGGAAACGGAGGGTGTCCGTACCCGAAGTCAACGCCAGCAGGAGACGGACCAACGAAGATTTGGTGGTGCAACGCCGCAGACGTCGGAGGGCCAGCCACCGGCTGCAGGCCCGTCGGTAGCTCCTACATCTGCAGCACCTGACTTAGGTGCTCTGATGGTGATGCTGCAGGAGCAGGCTCGCCGACAGGAGGAGCAGGCTCGCCGTCAGGAGGAGTAGGCTCGCCGACAGGAGGAACAGGTCCGTCAGTTGAAAGAGCAGCTGCAGAGCGGACAGGAGGAACAGGTCCGTCAGTTGAAAGAGCAGCTGCAGAGCGGACAAGAGGAACAGGCCCGCCGACAGGAGGAACAGATGCTCTTCATGAAGGACCTTCACGCTACCTTTGCGAAAGAGATAAGGGAGGTGAAGGATAGGGTTGCTCAACATGACAACCGCCTGTTGGAAGCTGAAACCCGAATCGAAGAACATGAAACCCGAATCAACCATGTGAACAATCGGATTGACAACGTGATGGCTGACGTGAAGAAAACGCTGAACGACCTCAAACTTAGGGATGGAACTACAGCTCCAGTAGTAGCTACAGCACCTTCGCTACGTGGATTCAAAGTGCCGCCGTTCGACGGGACTTCTTCCTGGTCGGCCTACAAAATCCAGTTCGAGGCCGTCATGGAGGCAAACGGCTGGAATAAAAGCCAGGCCATGACTGCACTCACCTTTGGCCTGCGCGACCAAGCCTTAACCGTGTTGGAAGCTCTCGGTAAGAAAGTGACCTACGAGCAGCTCCTTGAGGCATTGGAGGCGAGATATGGTGACGCTCACCTGGAACACGTCTTTCGCGCGCAGCTTAAAGATCGCGTGCAACGCAGCAACGAAAACCTGCAGCAGTGGGCCCTTGAGGTGGAGAAGATGGTTCAAAAAACATACCAGTCTGTACCTGCGCTCATTGAAGGGAACCTGGTGCAGACATTCATCGACGGCATCCGCGACCTGAAAGTCAGAGCTGCTGTGAGGCTCGGGCACCACGAGACGCTTAAGGACGCCTTGGCCCATGCACTGGAGGTGGAAGCCGTGTGGCAGGATCATCGTTCCCATCGCGTCAGGGAGGTTGCAGCAGCTACAGTTCGCGACCGCAACAAAGGATACAGCCCTAGGTGCTATGGCTGTGGGGAAAAGGGCCATCTTCGATCCAGCTGCCCTAATCGAAGCGCAGAAAGGGAAAGTGAACGATATCAGGAGGGTAGTGCAGCTAACGGCACTGCCTGGCGGCGACAGGATCGTCGTTCACCTCACGC